TGCTTTTTCCACCAAAATAGAGGGAAACCACCATTTACAAGGCAATGTTCAGGTGTATAATGTAAGGATCCCTGATGCAACTTGTGTCACCCAATTTCATGTGGATGAGATTTGCGGTGGGGATACTTCAGGTGAACGTGATTGTTTCCTTTTTGGGGTGGGTTCACTATGCCAAGGACGCATAACTCCGTGTACGGAGTCTCAGGTGTGGCTTTTTGCACCAATATCCCTCCAGCTTCAAACAAGACTTCAATCTAGGAAACTGTTTGGATGCGGTTTTTGTGGCTCCAGCCCTGTAGGGTAGCAAAAGAGTACTAAAAGGTATTAAACGAGGAACAACTGATAAAGCAACATGGGGAAGCCACGGAAATCGCATGCAATCTGTTTGCTGGATTGAAGCAGGCCGTATGGGCCCTGCCGGCTTTCTGCCTTTGGACACCGCTTTTGAAGCGCCCTTCTGTACCTCGAGCCGAGGTCTGAGAAGATGCCGCCGGAGCTCGGGCAGCAGGTGATCTTTACCAACGAGGAGCTGGTTCCACCGTTTCGGCCGTTATGGCGGCTTCAGTGTTCGGTTTTTGTTGGCCGTGGGTCAAAAATAGGTACCCAGAATGGAACCTTGGTTAATGGAGCCAAGCACTGAAACCTGCGGTCCCCTGGAGGTTTGATTTTGATCCACAGGCATATGGGTGTGGGTCAAAACCGTTTTGGGATCTCATTTTGGTTGGTAGGTGAAATCACCCATTTTAGAACCTATTTGAGTGGGGATTGGGATGTTCACTACTGGGGGTACGATTTGGATTTTGACCCATGGCCATATGTTGAGACCAAGATAACAAGCGGGGAACCCCAGTTTATGAATGCCAAGATGCATTTGTTGTGCTTGCGGCGTTTGTTTTAGAAGTTCACTTGTGAAATGCGTTAGCAATGCGAGTTGTGCTTCCCAAAGATGGTGGCGCACGTAGTACGCATCATGTCATCCTTGGGAGACCTTTAACTTGCAATGTCATGTGAGACTATATATAAATAAATTGTGTGGTCAATAGATGGTGAAACAGCAGACCGAATGTCACACTTGATGTTTCGTTTGGCATCGTCTAAGATGCAGACTGACGCACTCCACTTCATGTCGGTTTTGTGCGCACACGTGCATGCACGGCGGCTGTGATTCGTCAGGCATGTTGTGAGACACATTTACCCCACACATCACGAGAGCATCAAGTGCTCATAGACGTCCGTATTGAATGCTGCAATTCCTGCTAGCCAAGTGCGTCAGTTTGCCGCTACCTCGGTTGTTAGTATATGTGTGATCATCACCCAAGCACCGTTTCGCCGTCAGAGCGAAGGAGTTTGAACGCAACCCGCAACATTGCCATTGACCAAATTCCGCGCAACGCTGACATACCTCGCAGTCATGTCTAGGCTGGTTCGCACGCAACGGGGTTGTTGTTTCTTGCGGTGATTCTCCCTATAAGGACTCTGCTCTTAGATGCCTCTTAGCCATCTTTCTTATCACCTGATGTCGCCGACATCCGGCTGTGCATCCTTTCAGGTTCAGCCAGGCCGCCATCCCTCAATAGCTCGGGGGACTCGCTTTCTTTGGAGTTGATCCGGCTCGATGTCCGATTTTTTGAGTCGCGCGCGTTGCGACTCGCGACTCGAACCTCGTTGCGACATATAAGAATGAAGACAAAAAACACCACATTCAATCTGTACTGTGGGTTTGTCTCAAAGTGGACACAACCTGGAGGGATTCCTGTGTCTGAGACCCACGAACCTGGCTTTGAACAGGGGAACCAACCAATTCAACTCGCTGTTTTTTTTTGTTGTTTTCTTGCTGGTGCTCAGTAGGGAATGACCGGTGTTGGGAATGCACCTATAGGGATCCCCTTAAAGGAAGCCGCAGGGGATGGTTTTCTTGGGGTCATTCCAGCTCATTTCCAGCCTATCGAAGTAGTAAGTCATTGGTTTCCCCGCGCAAAGGGGGAGCCCTGAAATGACATACTCGAAGGGGCAATCGGGTACTACTGTAAGTGCTTGGTGGGCCTGGTGTCTCACCGACATCTCTGGCGGCAGGGCCTGAAACGGCTCATGTCCCGCATCACCGAGCTGCACCAGGAGATTCGGGAGGACCGGCCCGAGTTGTGTTCTGTTGGTGGGTGGGTGGGTGGGTGGGTGGGTGGGTGGGTGGGTGGGTGTGGGTGTGGGTGTGGGTGTGGGTGTGGGTGTGGGTGTGGGTGTGGGTGTGGGTGTGGGTGTGGGTGTGGGTGTGGCTGCCGCTGTAACTCCAGCTGCAATAGCGTGTATCAAAGTTGTTGCGGAATCTCGTGTTTCATTTTTGTCGAGGGAGACCTGACTCAGGCCGGACAAACGTGTCTGCGCTTCGCTGTGCGGCGCGGTGTACTAGATTTTTTCCTGGGGGTTGAGTGTTTGAAGCGCTCGCAAGCCGCCTTTTTTTGCTTCTAAAGTTGCAGTTTTGATCGACAGGGAAATTTGGAGGGGTGTGTGCAATCTCTGTCAGAGCATCTCAGGACTGATGTCTTCCTGAAGAAAGTGTCTGCGCCCCGCTGCGGCGCAGCATGGATATGTTCGCACGGAAGCTTCTTCTTCTTGGTCTGTAGAGATGGATAGTGTTCGAGAGGGGTAGTTGGGGGGCATTCGTCAGCAGGCGCGCAAGCGCTCTAAGCCTGACACAGGGAGGCAGTGACAAGAAGTATCAAGTGGAAAGTCTGGAGCCAGCAGCTGCAGGTGCAATAGCGTATATCAAAGTTATTGCGGAAGCTCGTGTTTGATTTTTGTTGGAAACGACCGGTCCGCCTTCTGGGTGTGCTAAATGTACTTGTTCATTTATGTTTCAGGTGCGTTTCACTTACTTGGTGTCTTGAAATAACTGAACATATATGTGCTGACTGTTTACAACCCTCCCTGTTCCCTACATCTGCTGTTTCTTCTCTGGTCTGCTCGTTTCTTCCTCTCTCTCTCTCTACGTTTCTTTTTCTCTCTCTTTTTCTCACATGGCGATTCGGATGATTTGCCAAAGATTTCACTGCGTGTTGCAACTTGGCCTGCTTTGAGGTGATGCTACAAGTGGCTTCAAAGGTCTTTTCATGACCTTGTTACGCTGGCATGTGCTTTGGATCGCGCCTGGTTTTCTTTCACTCGCCCGAGGACTCACGCGGGTTATCTCGGCGTTTTTGATTTGTCTTCCTTGTCTGGAGACACATCTGTATTGTTAGTGAATGTCCACCTTGAACGTGGCTCAGACTTACGAACGTGTCTTTGCTTCGCTGCGCGGCGGGGCATTTTGGATTTGACGCTGGGGGATATTGAGGGCTGAACGCATTAGCGTGGAATATTTCAATTATGGCCCCATTTCTATTTGTTCAAGCTGAGGTAAAGGTTGACATGGATAGCTGGGAGCATTCCTATTCAACTGTCAAACTTTCAGAGAGGGGGTGCGAGGCTGAGCGAATTTGATTTTCTTCAAGTTTCTGACCTATCAGCTCTTGCCGGTTCGAAGCGTGCTTCTTTTACTCTTGTGTTGAAAAGTTGCGACTTTCGAGCCGGAGCTGCCCAAGTTACTACACCTGTGCTGAAATAGGTTGCGACATTCAAGCCAGAGCTGCCAAAGTGTACTGCCTTGCCAGGGCCAGGCTTGAGAAAAACAGGTAGCTTGTGGACGCATGCTTGAGCGGGTGCGCTTACCATGTGACACGTGTGGACGCAGCGCTGAACGGTCCGCTTCAGAGGGCGCGCTTACCGTGTGACATGTGTGGGCGCGCGCCGCGCGCCAGAAGCTTGAGCAGGCGCGCTTACCATTCCTCCCACCCCCCACCCCTGACCGCACCTTGCGTAGGCGTTGGAGCCGGGTTTGCGCGCTAGACAGTTTTGGGGCTGAATTTTGCGGTAGGCGCGCTTCTTCGGCAACCGCGTGCTCCTGTGAATCAAAAACTAGACCACGGCTGGCCCGAAAGCAAAACATCGCAAACGAGGTCGGCCCAACGCTGCAGGATGCGCGTTCTTTTTCCCTCCACGAAGCATTCGTGGAGCAAGCGCGAGACAGCGCCAGGCAAGGTGCTCTGCGCAAACTGGTCGGTGCAAGTTGGTCTGAGCAAGTTGCTCTACGCAAGTTGCACTGCGCAAGTTGCTCTGCGCAAGCTGCTCCGCGCAAGTTGCTCCGGCAGGTTGGTCCCTGCAAGTGGCTCCCTGCAAGTTGCTCTGTGCAAATTGTGCTCCCTGCAAGTTGCTCTGCGCAAGCTGCTCTGTGCAAGTTGCTCTGTGCAAGTTGCTCTGCGTAAGTTGCTCTGCGCAAGTTGCTCTAGGCAAGGCGCTCTGCGCAAACTGGTCGGTGCAAGTTGGTCTGCGCAAGTTGCTCTGCGCAACTTGCCCTGCGATTTTAACTCCTCGCAAGTCAATTGCGTTTGACCCCTTGCACTTGCAACTTGCACTTGACCCCTTGCACTTGCAACTTGCACTTGACTCCATGCGCTTGCAACTTGCGCTTGACTCCTTGCACTTGCAACTTGCGCTTGACTCCTTGCGCTTGCGACTTGCGCTTGACCAGGCCTGCGGGGGGGTTGTTTGCAAGAGTTTCACGCATTTTTACGTGTTCAGGGGGGTGGTTGGGGGTCGGGGCTTCCCTTTCTTTTCCCGAAAGCATGGCGAAGGGTTCTTCCGCTGGGTTCACTTGAGTTGTTCTCATGAGAGTCATTACAAGGTGTCATTGCAAGGAATCATCATCATGAAAGTCAATGCAAGGAGTCATTGCAAGGAGCCATTGCAAGGAGTCATTGCAAGGAGTCTTTGCAAGGAGTCATTGCAAGGAGGCATTGCAAGGAGTCATTGCAAGGAGTCATTGCAAGGAGTCATTGCAAGGAGTCATTGCAAGGAGTCATTGCAAGGAGTCATTGCAAGGAGTCAAGGAGTCATTGCAAGGAGTCATGAGAGTCATTGCAAGAGCTGCAAAGGCGCACGCGAGCCCCCGCGAGCCCCCCCCAACCCCCCCCTTAAACACATAAAAAACAAGGCGAAACTCTCCCAAATTTTTTCCGCCCCTGCCCCCCCCCCCCCCGGCGCACGCGCTTTTCCGATTTTCGCTGTTTTACTCTTGCGCCCCCCAACAACCCCCCCTAAACACGTAAAAACGCACGAAACTCTTGCAAACAACCCCGCGCCCCGTCCGCCGCAGGCCTGGCTGGCCTGGCTCGCGCCGCTGGCGCCCGCAGGGCGCGTGTGAGGTGCAATCCCGAGCCCCCCGTAAGCGACGCGTAACCCCCTTAAACATATAAAAACAAGGCAAAACTCTCCCAAATTTTTTTCCGTCCCTCTCCCCCCCGGCGCGCGCTTTTTTTCCGATTTCCGCTGTTTTCCTCGCGCGCGCGTTTCCCAGCAAAACCCATATAAAACTCCAAATTGCAAAAAAATGCGAGAGAAAAAAAACGACAAAACGAGACACAAAACGAGGTTGACACATTTTTTCAAAATAAAACGGGCCCCGGCCGGCCCAAAATACATTTTCAAACTTTTCGATTTAATTTTCTAATGTAAAACGAAACAAAAAGAGACGATTAAAAAAATGTAACAAACAAAACGGGGTTGACACAAATTTTTGCAAATTGAAAACGGGCCCCGGCAAACCCAAAATGCGTTTTCAAACTTTTCTATGTAATTTTGTAAGGGAAAACGACACAAAACGAGACAAGGAAAAAAAAACAAGCAAAACAAAATTTTGTAACAAAAATCGGGGTTGACACAAAATTTTTCAAATGAAAACGGGCCCCGGCCGGCCCAAAATGCGTTTTCAAAATTTCCTATTCAATTTTGCAAGGGAAAACGCAACAAAACGAGACGAGAAAAAAAAACGAAAAAAATGAAAAAAAAACAAAAAACGGGGTTGACACAAAATTTTGCAAATTGAAAACGGGCCCCGGCAAACCCAAAATGCGTTTTCAAAATTTTCTATTTAATTTTGTAAGGGAAAACGGCACAAAACGAGACAAGGAAAAAAAAGCAAGCAAAACAACATTTTGTAACAAAAAACGGGGTTGACGCAAAATTCTTCAAATGAAAACGGGCCCCGGCCGGCCCAAAATGCGTTTTCAAAATTTCCTATTCAATTTTGCAAGGGAAAACGCAACAAAACGAGACGAGAAAAAACAAACAAACAAAAAAATGCAAAAAAAAACGGGGTTGACACAAAATTTTGCAAATTGAAAACGGGCCCCGGCAGGCCCAAAATGTGTTTTCCAAATTTTCCATTTGATTTTGTAAGGGAAAACGACACAAAACGAGACAAGAAAAAAAACATGCAAAACAAAAAATTGTAGCAAAAAACGGGGTTGACACATTTTTTTTCAAATGAAAACGGGCCCCGGCAGGCTGCAAAATGTGTTTTCATTTTTTCTTTTTAATTTTGCAAGGGAAACGCAACAAAACGAGACGGGGAAAAAAACGAAAACACACAAAAAATGTAACAAAAAAGGGTTGACACTTTTTTTTACATGAAAACGGGCCCCGGCCGGCCCAAAATGCGTCTTCAAAATTGTTTATTTAATTTTGTAATGTTAAACGCAACAAAACGAGACGAGAAAAAGAAACGAAAAAAACAGCAAAACATGTAACAAAAACAGTGGGTGTGGGTGTGGGTGTGGGTGTGGGTGTGGGTGTGGGTGTGGGTGTGGGCGTGGGTGTGGGCGTGGGCGTGGGCGTGGGCGTGGGCGTTGGGCGTGGGCGTGTGGGTGTGGGCGTGGGTGGGCGTGGGCGTGGGTGTGGGCGTGGGCGTGTGGCGTGGTGTGGGGGGGGGGTGGGGTGGGGGGTGGGGGTGGGGGGGTGGGGGGGGTGGGTGGGTGGGTGGGTAAATGGTGGGTAAATGGGTGGGTGTTTGGGTGGGTAAATGGGTGGGTACATGGGTGGGTACATGGGTGGGTAAATGGGTGGGTGGGTGGGTGGGTGGGTAAATGGGTGGGTACATGGGTGGGTGGCTGGGTGGCTGGGTGGGCGGGTGGGGGGAACAGGCAAACAAAGCAACACATGTGTGGGTGTTTCGTTTTGGGTTTAATTTTTCCCTCAAGTCCTTGCCAGACTTGGCGCGTGTGTGTGTGTGTGAGAGTGTGTGAGAGTGTGTTAGAGTGTGTGAGAGTGTGTGAGAGTGTGTGAGAGTGTGCGAGAGTGTGTGAGAGTGTGTGAGAGTGTGTGTGTGTGAGTGTGTGTGTGTGTCTGTGTGTCTGTGTGTCTGTGTGTGTGTGTTGTGTGTGTCTGTGTGTCTGTGTGTCTGTGTGTCTGTGGGTCTGTGTGTCTGTGTGTCTGTGTGTCTGTGTGTGTGTCTGTCTGTGTGTCTGTGTGTCTGTGTGTCTGTGTGTCTGTGTGTGTTTCTGTGCGTCTGTGCGTTTGTGTGTCTGTGTGTCTGTGTGTCTGTGTGTTTGTGTGTCTGTGTGTCGGTGTCTCTGTGTCTCTGTGTGTCTGTGCGTCTGTGTGTCTGTGTGTCTGTGTGTCTGTGTGTCTGTGTGTCTGTGTGTCTGTGTGTCTGTGTTTGTGTCTCTGTGTGTGTGTCTGTGGCTGTGGGTGTGGTTGCGGGTGCGGGTGCGTGTGTGCGTGCGTGCGTGCGTGCGTGCGTGCGTGCGTGCGTGCGTGCGTGCGTGCGTGCGTGCGTGCGTGCGTGCGTGGGTGTGTGTGTGTGTGTGTGTGTGTGTGTGTCTGTGTGTGTGTGTGTGTGTCTGTGTGTGTCTGTGTGTGTCTGTGTGTGTCTGTGTGTGTGTGTGTCTGTGTGTGTGTCTGTGTGTGTCTGTGTGTGTGTGTCTGTGTGTGTGTGTCTGTGTGTGTCTGTGTGTGTTTGTCTGTGTGTGTGTGTTTGTGTGTTTGTGTGTGTGCGTGTCTGTGTGTGTGTGTGTCTTTGTGTGTGTGTCTGTGTGTGTCTGTGTGTGTGTTTGTCTGTGTCTGTGTGTCTGTCTGTGTGTATGTGTGTGTCTGTGTGTGTGTCTCTGTGTGTGTGTGTGTGTCTGTGTGTGTTTGTGTGTGTGTGTCTGTGTGTGCGTGTGTGTCGGTGTGTGTGTGTGTGTCTGTGTCTCTGTGTGTGTCTGTGTGTGTCTGTGTGTGTCTGTGTGTGTGTCTGTGTGTGTCTGTGTGTGTCTGTGTGTGTGTGTGTGTGTCTGTGTGTGTCTGTGTGTGTGTGTTTGTCTGTGTGTGTGTTTTTGTTTTTTCCCCTCAACAGCTGGAAGCTTTGGGGTCTCAGCCCAGATAGGCTCCGTGCGGTGCTCTTTTTAGTGCTCACACCCCGCAGCCCTCGCAGAACCTCATGCAACCCTCGTGGAACCCTGGCGGAGCCCTGGTGGAATTCTGGTGGAACCGTATTTCAGGGCCGCCCCGGACCACCCCATGCTGTTGGGGATATCACCTGAGCTTATTTGTTTTGACTTGTTGCCCTTTTGGTGTTCCATCATCTGCACTTTCAACCAGCAACAAGATAGCTTTTGGTTGGGGTCTAGCCCAAGTCTTTTCCAGTTGAGGGTAACATGAGGTTAGCACTGTACACTAGGGTGGGTTTAAAGAAATTCTGAGTCCTGAGGGGTTGCCCGTGATACAAAGCCATGTCCTGCCGTGTGCCCTTGAAAAGGGCAGTCTTCGGCCTAGAGGGAGGTTCTGTCTTGACTCGCACAGCTTGCGCACATGGAGACATGGTCTCATGGAATGGGCTTCACAGCGTTACGCCCGATGCCAAAGCCACCTCCGAGAGTCGACACAGCTTTCATGCCGCCGACCTTCTTGTTTGATGCCAGGGTCCCAGGGAGAAAAATGGTCCGTATGACTTCGCGGGCCTCGCAAGCGGCAGATTGTATTTGCGTTTCTGGCGCAGAAATTTTGGATTTTGGGATGTTGGCCAGGTGAAGGCTCGACACAAGCAGCCAGTGCCTTAGAATGCCTCAGCAGTCCAAATAGGGTTACCATAGGGAAACCACACGAAAAGATGTGATATTTCAAACACTAAACGAAGAAAGTTGTTCATGGTCATTTGAAGGCGAGGCATTTTGATCAGCCCCCAAATCTAGGAGTTCTGTTGAGGCTTGTCAATCCCAGACAGAGAAGCTGCTGATGAAACAGTGTGCCTGTGGAAGCACTGCCTCCACATGAGGGTCACCCGCCTGAGTTAGGGTTTAGGGAAGCAACCTCTATGTTGGGTCAAGGCCAGGAGACTGGGAATATGTGGAAACCCGCCGAAGGGCGCAAGCGCAAGCCCTTCGGCCGGGGAAAGGGGAAAGGGGATTTCCCCTGAATGGTTTTAAGGCTCCCCTGAATGGCAAGCCCCATTTAAACTTGCCAAGCCCATCCCATCCGGTTCCTGAGGCCCCTTAGGCTTGGGGGATTTGCAGGTTTAGTGGGGGTTGCCATTATAGCCCCACAAGTTTAAGCAAGGGATTGAGGACAGCCCAGTCAAAGTGAGTTTGTTTTGTGATACTTAAAGGGGAAATACCGGGATCGCTGTGGGGGGAACTCTGACTATTTGTTTACCTCGCATTGTGTTGCTGGTTTTTTTCAGGGTGAACAATCTGTTCGCCACCTTTCACTCTACGTAGTGAAAATTCATCCTTTTTTTGTTAAATCTCCTTTGCCTTCAGTCCAGTTTGGGCGTGTCCATTAGCGAGGGTAAACTCGTATGCAAAGTGGGAATGTGGCAACATGTTAGTTTCGCCTGGCCTGGGGCTTTTGGGATTCGTCAAATAGCACGGTTGGGAAGCATGGCGACACCGCTTGCTTCCTTCAGTTGTGGGCGACAAGCTTCTTTTCTTTCTGCCTTGCAGCAGAAATAGAAAGCGCGGCTCGAGTTTTCTTCTTTTCATGCAGCGTTCTAGCCGCCAAACAGGGGCCCGTTATGTGTGTGTGTGTGTGCTGGGACAAGTGGCAACATTGGTTGACGCAGGCAGCAACAAATTTTCGCAAGTCAAGGATTTGTCCGATACTGCCCGACGTCCATGGCAAGACTTGATAGCTGCTTGTTGTTTTGTTTGTGAGCCCATCAATTTCCAGCCAAGATCAACATTTCAACTTTTAGTGCCAGAAGAGTTCTCGCCGTGGAGCAGCAAGGGTGTTCCTTCATTTTCTTCCAGGCACCAAAATGGCCAACGAGATAGTCAGACCAACAGCATGGATTCATATGCGCACCATATTTTGTTCTTGCCAGGCAGAGTGTGAATCCTTCTCAGCTGCTGTGCATTCCAGGCTGCAGCGGGACTTCCGCGTTAGGAAGAAGGACAAGAACGTGGCTCTCCAACACATTGAGGCGCTAAGAATGTGGTGGTTGTCCCTTTGGTGTCCCAGAACAAACAGCCCAGAAGGGTGCGCGCAAAACCAAAACACGCGGGATTTTGGGAGAGCTGTTGAGAAACGGTTTGTCTGGAATGTGGTGTTGACAGTTTTGCTGACGGTCTTAAATCCCGAACCGCACGGGCGGGATATCCACTCTGCAGGGTGGCAATGGGTTGCTTGCCTTTGCGGTTTCAGATTTGCATAGCGTCTAAAACAAGGGTTCCTCCATTTCCCTTTTTGGAGGCTTCAGAAGTGACAGTTTCAATGGACACCGCCAGTAAATTGCAACTTTTGGCGGGGGGGGGTCCAGTGACCCCCTGTAGAGTCTGCCACATGGCGCAGTGATGCCATGCACGACATGTAAAGCAACTCAGCCATCCAAGACATCTACCCTGACGAGTTGCCACTGGAATTTCTGGGAGGCACGCCGTAGGGTTGAGCCCGGACATAAACAAACAAATAGCGCGACGTTCTTGGATCGCCTCAGGGATGGTCACGTGAGGTTGCTACCAATATGTCGGGCCGACTTCCGCTTCGCACAGCTTCTCAGGTTTGGCGGCGTGCGTGATGCAGTGTGTGGAAGCAAATAGGTTGTACTTGGGTACTCAGTGTGTCAAATCTCGGAGCCCCGTTTTGGCCAGTGGCGAGAAATCAACCGTGAATCCCACGGTTTTTGTACAATTCTACGTATATTGACCGCGAATGAATTGAAGTGATACATCATGCGCAAAAGGTGATTGCGTGGCTTTGCGGCCATGAACAATGCTCCAGCAGCCTGACCTTGGTCGTTGCTAGGCCCGGAGTGGCAAAGAGGTCATTGCATGCCAACACAGGACTCGCGAAATACATCACTGCAAATATTTACAGTGGATGTTTTGTTTTGCATGTTTTCGCCGAGCACAAGCCGCGAGATGAATGGCATGTTGTTGAATCCGGTTCTTGCCCAGTAGATCTTGGAAGCTGCTCGACATGGGCTGTAGAGTTTGACGCAGATGCGAATCGTTACCTTGTGTAGCCTTTCGTGGCTGTGGGATATCATTCAAACAGCTTCCAGCGTTGTGTTGGGCTTGTGGATTTTGGGAGTGCTGTGGCGGTCTGCTCTGGTCATACTTCTGATATCTATTGCCCGGCCTTGTTTAAAGCCGCCACAGGCGTGACGGGGGAGGTAGGCAATTGCCAAGTTCTTCTTGGAAATTTTAATCATCACAATTCCATGTGGAATTGGCTGTTCAAGAAGTCGGAGTTTGCTTTTCGGACGGATGCGAACTCCACAGACGCGACCCGATGGCCTGCCAGGATCTTCACGCCAAGTTCCAGGCAGGGCCGCTCGCTTATTAGAAGCTTATCCCATCGATTTGTCAGGTTTGTCAAACAAGTTGCCCTCTTGACGCGGTGAATTTTGTGCCACAAATTAGCAGGGTGTTCTTTGTTTCCCTGCTGTGGGTGGACGAAATCCATTTCGCACCAGCTAAGAAACCCTGGAATGAAGATTCTGCAGAACCTATTAGCAAACACTAGTCACTTCCTATGCTCTCAAAGCGTCCATACATTGATGGCCACTCTAACTTTACGCAAGGGTTGATGTCACTGCAGGCCTTGAGACCTAGTTGCACCCCTCGTAAGGGTTCCATGGCCATGCCAGGCTCTTGAGGGTTCATTTTCTGGGCTTGCCCTGGGATTGCTTCATGCATGTCTATCCGACCACGCTGCTTTGTGTACTGAGAGAACTGTGTGTCCTGTTGCCACGGACGTTGATGCTGCAGCTTGTCCAGGCTGCGAGACTAGAAAGTCCCTAGCCGCAATCCTTGCTATAGTTAGCATCAAATAGTCAGACAGACATCCTAGCGACATCCACCCAAATCCCTGACGGCTGGTAGGCAGGAACTGTAGCTTCATATTATATATATATATGTTTATAAATATATATGTGCATATATAGTATTTGTTTATTATATGTTTGTATAAATATGTATTATATACCAATTGGTTGCCTTCTTGTTTTCTCCGCAGCCCGTTTCATGGAGGACATCAAGCTGCGGATCTGTGGGCTGGATGGACGTGAGCTGTCATTCACTTTTGCAGGGGACCGCCTGGGCACTTGGCTGCTGCAAGTGGTCCGGTCCAAGCTGCCTGCGAAGCCCGGGGGTGTGCTTCACCTCAGCTTCGGCGACACCAAACTTTTGCTCCACACGCCTTTGCAGGACCAAGACTTGCCGTGGCAGCATGGCATGTTCACCTACGCTCGGACAGATCTGCTGACGGCATGGGAGGCCTGTCAAGCTTGGGGTGCTCTAGCTTTCCGACATGATCAAGTCTTCGAAGGAGTCACAGAGCTCTGCTGGGACAGGCCCACGCTTGGCAGTCTGTTGAATGGGCTGGTGACATGCCAAGTTCTAAGCTTCGGCGACAGCTTCAATCACAGCTTACAGGGCCTGAGGCTTCCCAAAACCTTGGAGAGCCTGAGCTTTGGCAACGCATTTGACCAGAGACTGGACGTTGCGCTTCCCAGCGGCTTGAAGCGCCTTGAACTGGGGAACCGCTTCAACGCAAGCCTGCAGGGAGTGATGCTACCCAGCTTGCAGAGCCTGAGCCTGGGCAACGGATTTAACCAGAGCCTTCAAGGAGTGACTTTGCCCAGCAGCTTGCAGAGCTTGACGTTCGGAGACAACTTCAATCACAGCTTAGAGGGAGTGACTTTGCCGAGCGCCTTGCTCAACCTGACATTTGGGGATGAGTTTCGCGCAAGTTTGCTGGGAGTCGCATTGCCCTGCACTTTGCAGACCCTGAGATTTGGCAACGCATTTAACGCAAGCTTACAGGGAGTGAGCTTGCCCAGTACCTTGCAAAGTCTCAACTTTGGGAATTCATTCAATCAAAGCTTGCAAGGACTGCTGCCCGACACCTTGCAGAGCCTGTCTTTGGGTGGGACATTTGCCCAAAACTTACAGAGAACGTTGCCGCTTGGCTTGCGGGATCTGTCACTCGGCAACTCGAGCGATGGCGCCGTGCGTGCCACGACTTTGCTCAGCTCCTTGCTTAGTCTGACCTTCGGCAACGGGCTCACTCAGCGGCTGCAAGATGTCTCTCTGCCCAGCAGCTTGCAGAGTCTCACCTTCGGCAACGAGTTTAACCACCGCATGCAGGGGGTGGTCTTACCAAGCGGCTTGCAGCTTCTAGCCTTCGGCGACAGGTTTAATCAGAGCCTTAAGGGGCTGTTGTTTCCGAGCACATTGCTGAGCCTGTCATTTGGCAAGGCGTTCGATGAATCCTTGCAGGGCGTGGATTTACCTAGCGGTTTGCGGAGCCTGAAGTTCGGCTGCAGGTTCAACCAGCGCTTGCAGGGAGCGATTCTGCCCACCGACTTGGAGGTCTTGATATTTGGTGACAGGTTTGAGCATAGCTTGCAGGGGGTGGCTTTGCCCAGCCATTTGAAGAGCCTGACACTGGGAAACCAGTTTGACCAAAGCTTGCAAGAGATCGCCCTGCCCCGCACTTTGCAAAGCTTGACCTTTGGCAGCCGATTCAACCAAAGCTTACAGGGATTGACACTGCCCGAAAGCTTAGAGAGCCTGACCTTTTGCAATCGCTTCGCCCAAAGCTTAGAGGGGGTGGTTTTTCCCAGCACCCTAAAGAGCTTGAGGCTTGGGCACTTCTACGACCACAGCCTGCAGGGAGTTGCCTTGCCCAGTGGCCTACAGAGTCTGAGCTTCGGCAACACCTTCAACCAGCGCCTGGAAGCGTCGCTTCCCAGCGGTCTGCAGCATCTCGCGCTGGGGGATAATTTCAGTCACAACCTGCAGAGTCTAACTCTTCCTAACCTCTGCAGAGTGGCTGGCAAGGGCGTCACCCTGGGCTGCTCCTGACTGGCGCCAGAGAGTGGACGTGAGATCCGTTGCCGTGCGCTAGTGAGTTGGAGTCTGATCATTTGCCAGATGCCATCTATTCCAAAAGTACACCTATGGAATGCTGTGAAGAGACATTGCCCGACAGCCAGCCTGCCAGTGCGATGTGTGTGGATTCGCTTTCTTGAAGGATTGACACTGAATGGCTTGCCGGATGCAAAAGGCAGTCGACTCTGGAGCCTACCCAAAATCCTCCGTTTGAGCCACCCTATGTTCTGCACCCGTTGCGCTATAAACCTGCTAAACCGCAGATTGCTTGCAGACATCTTTCTCAGCCGAGCTCGGATCCGGGGGAGGTAGCGCCTTTGCCATGGACATAAAGAGTCAACTTGGGAGTTGGGGTAAATTGGCTAAGCGGTCGCCAAGCTTGCATCCGAGGAATTATAGTGCCTAAGAAGATTTGGACAGGCCGCGTGTTTTTACAGGATTCGAACAGGTATGGTTGCAAAGGGCAGAAGCCAACACCTCATGTTTGAGCGCTTGCTTCCTCTTGTTTCTGTCGGGCCAAGAAGTCAATCATTGAAATGAGTCGACATGGCAGCCATTGATTCCAGTTTGCTGGCTCCTTCTTGTTTCTTCATGTTTGGAGGTGCTTGCATTTGGCGAGCGGGCATATCGAGTACTGGCATCGATGCACAGACATGCATGGACCATCTACAGGCAATGTGTCCCGGCGTTGGCATCGGGCTGTTGATCTTTCCAGGATACACTCAAAGAGGCTAAGATCCAAGCCATGATCAGTTGTATACGTGGCAGGAAAAAAGACACCCTGTGTTAAGGGGCCCTGAGGCGTGAGCCAGCTATTGTCTTTTTTGACGTCATGGTGCGCATGACATAGGCTGTGCCACACCCGAGTCATTCTTTGCCACCCTGGCGGCCACCCTTGTTCGATTGGGACCGGGGACCCAGGAACTCATCAAGCGGGAGCTGACGAGAAAAAAGATGGAAAGGAACAACCATAGGTGTCCTTTTTGGTGTTTTTTGTCGAAAAAACAGATGGCCCTGGTTTACCTGGCTGGTTTAGTCTGTTCCCCGAAAGGGGACATGGGAACAACACATCAAAATCGACCCCCCCCTTTTGTATCAATATGCTCACTCGGACTTTTGGCACTGTTTGGGTTTGGACCATTTCTAGTGGTAAACAAAAAGTTCGAGCCTTTTTTGGGCCATCCACTCAGGAAGTGAGTAAGTGCGTTAATGGTTGTGACCAACCGACAGTTCAACCACGCATGTGCTGCCAGGACATTCAGATGCTCAAGTTTGGGCAGATTGTGGACTTAGACCTCATCGAGCGAAGTGCTCCCAACAAGTACGTGCAGGCGGGACACCCCAAAAGATGAGCATACAAATGTTGGTCTGTCTTTCTTGTCGTGGTGGGTGTCAGGGTGTCGTGGTATTTTCAACTTGAAAAACAAAAACGAGTTTCCCGAAACATGTGACAGGCAAAGCATGATGTTCTTCATTGAGGGCTCCCTCTTTGGAGGTTCGAAGGGAAGCCTCGGGCAACTGCTTGGCTTCTTCCTGGCTCGCACGCCGGGTTTGGGGATCTGCCATGGGCCAGTTGCAGAGCTGCACTGTTTGTTTGTGGTCTTCAGATCTCACCTTCGAGTGTAATCCGGGTGTTCCATGTTTCAGGCTCGTGTGTAAACAGAAGGATACAATAGAATCCGCCTTCCTTAACCGCTAAAACAGGGGGGGACGTCCAATTTAAAGTGGAAGGTTCCACTTTAGACGTCCCCCCTTAAGGCAAGGAGGATACAATAGAATGATTGTTGGAGACTACAGCTTTGACACACACACACACATCCGCGGCAAGGGATTTTACCGCAATTATGCCGCAATTCACTGTACAAGGGCATCACATGATTCATGCAACAAACCCATAGATCAAATCTGTTGAATATAATATATACCATTAGCATACTTACATTTGTGCGTTTGCTTGTTGTTTTACTTGTTTGTTGGACCCAGGACACCTTGCCTGGTTGCGGAATGTTGCGGGCGGCCCGCGGCCCTTCCGGGCCAAGCCCTTCTGATGGGCTGAACGCAACAGTACATTACAGCGTTTCCCTGTGTTCTATGTTGGGCACTGCACTTCTCCATGGTCGGTCCTCGGTTACTTGCCTGAACATTGAACAGGGACTCTCAGCAAGGGGATCCCCAAACGGAGTTTCCTTCACAAAGTCCAGAGCCCCTGTGGTTTGCTTGATGCCGTGCATGTTCATTGTAAGGATGACTTTCTTTGCGCATTTGGCGGACAGATTTTCTAAACGTTTCTGTTTTTGGAAACGACTCGTGCAAAAATTGGGACCCTCAGCATGTGTCGGTGGATATAAATATCATGTTGGATCAGTTTCCTATGTGGTGTTCTGCCTTGTCAACAGGGAGCTTGCGATTTCCCCTGTGTCCCAATACGAAGTAGGGGACTAGGATCAGGTTGAAAACCCAGAGAACTGGATGTAAGTATGTATTAATATATATATATATACGCATGTATCCTGATTCATTTGCCTTTTTTGAGTTTCAATATTCATTTATTTTGTTTGTTTCATTATTTTTATATATGTATTTTATTCATTCAGGTTGCTGTTGTTATTGGTCGCCAACAGCAACCTCCTCCCTTCCAGAACCCCAGCCCACCGCTGTGTTGTACTCCAGCGGGACAAAGACCCAAAGCTTTCAGCGCAACAAGGGTGTCTCTTTGTTTGGGGGGAACCTCTATTTGGTTTGGTTTTAAAAGGATTACGCACGTACACCAGTGGGCGGGTCCCCCAAAAACCACACATTCACGACTTCTGTCAGAGAGCAAACCCAGTGAAGGTTTTCCGGGACAGTGTGGATATCCGCCCTTTGCATCTTCTCTTTGCCTGGTTTTGGGTCGAATAATCAAACCAGGATATGGACCGCAGGTTTTGGTCCTTTCCATCCAGACCTAACCATCTTGGGTACCCTCCCATCCAGCAACGTGGAGCCTGTCGTTTCGGGGTCATGAAAATCAATTTTCCTTAAACACGGTGGGATCCATGTTGGGATGGTGTTGCCATCATCGCAACGCTGAGTAAATCCTTTGGACAAACAGTTCCAAGTTTGGGGTCTGTTGTTTTTTCCCATCCAGACCAACCCATTTTGGGCAGTTACCCTATTTTGACCGCCCTGGTTCATTCCATGTCTCCTTCCCTGCCTATCGAGCCAGCAAGGTTTTTCTACAAACAACCTGATAAAATCTCGCGTTTTTTCTTGCCCAATGCCCCATTTTGGGTACGTACCTATTTTTTGACCCACTTGGTCTTGGCTCACATTCGGGTTCACGGTTGTGGGATCACTCGGGGTTTACCTTCACTTCTGTGATGTCTTGTGGGTTTTTTTCCCCTTGTGGCCAGTTTGCCGATTGGTGGATTCCATTTCAACCACAGGCCTGATATAGACCCATCTTGCATAGGTTCTTGAGGAGCAGACAAATTACGCTTCAAGTTTTGTACCTACTGTGGATGGACGAAATCCTGCACCACTTTGAAACTATAGCAAACCATTGTTTGTTGCTATTTACAGGGAAGCATCACCCCAGGGTCTTGCAGGTGTGGTGCGAAATGGATTTTGTCCATCCACAGTATGGGTGCTTCTCACAAATTGGGGGGACCCCTCCAGGTGGGTGGTTTCCCTATTGGTTTCCCCAAAAAGACCCTCTGTTGGGTACCATGTCAGTGGACAGGAGAGTATTCCTCATTCGAGCCACAATCAAAACGCGGGTAGATAAAGGTTAGTAAGGGACGATCCCAACCATTTCTAGCTGCGGCCGCTTGCTTAATTCTTTACATGGTTCTGGGTGAACCATTTGTGTACCGGGTTTTGATGATTCTTTCGGTCTGACTGGGGTGACACGAGGAGCTCCAGGAGAAGGTGCTGCAGGCCGAAGCGGAGCACCGGCGCCGCATCGCCGAGTGGCAGAAGAGGCGGGCGTGTTCCCAGGCATCGGGCGCCTTTTGTGGTTGTTTTGCCTTAATTCTTGCTTTTGGTTTAGATCCCCTTACTCTCAGGTTTTTTCTAGGCGTTTTTGTTAGTTGGTTGTAAAGTGTATTTTTCACTGAATGAACGTTTTCGACATTTAGCAGGGGATGTGGGAACAGTCCAGAAACGTAGGGCTGGTTCTTGCGGGGTTTCCGAGCCATTTCCCTTTAAAGGGAACCTCAAGTGGCGATCGTTTGGGTAGAATCACCAGTCAATTGATCAACTTTTCATTCAGGGAAACCCAGAGACACCTGTCTTGCGACTTGGTAACCACCCTTTCAGCGCCCGACTGGCGCTTTCTGTGAACATGTGGCTGGTATGTGGCCCCATGTTGCCGGTAATGAACATTCCAGGCAATGGGCAACATGCAGCAGCTTTCCCGTGATCGGTCCGTTTGGCTGAGCCATATCCATTCAATCCGAAGGTCCGAGTGAACGAGGAGCGTACCATCCTGGCAGTTTGGACGCGGCAAATGCAGAGGTGCTTGCTGGCGCTCTACTGATAATGACTCTTTGTTTAGAGAGTCCAATATTTTGGCTAGTTGGAAGCAGCCAGCGTTGATCGATGTCCGTGCTACGTTGTGTTGACTTAATGCGGACTGACATACACGTTATGCTCCTTGCAGTCAAGGTGCCTCACCATGTGTTCTGCTATTTTATAGCGAGCTCACCGATTCGGGGGTACAACGAGCTCACCATGACAAAGGTCCTTTACTTGGGGATCCGATTCTTAATTTCAGCTTTTTTGCAGAGGTTGTTTGCTCGCGTTGCTTGGGACCAAGCGTTTCTCTCGATGCCTTGGCATCGAAGGATGGAGAAGCAGAAGAAAGAGCTTGCGAAGATTACCTGCGGCCCGGCAGAAGGACTTGGGATGCTGGGATAAATCTATCTCCTGGCTGTTCAGTTGGTTGCCCAGAGGGTCCAAGTACCTAATGAGGCACTTGGACCCTTTTTATTCCCGAACAGCCATCGTCAGGACTTAGCTGGACCCTTGGGTTGAGGAAGGGGATCCAAAGTTGGGATCCTTTCTGACACGAACCGAGCATGGGCGGGACCCGCTCGATGTTTGCAGCCAATGGCCCGACCGAGGGACCAGTGGAAATGTTTGGGCGCGGTTTAGCGGACAAATTGAAGCAACTTGGTGGTTCCCGAAGGCCATCCGATTTCAGAAAGGTTTTCAGATGCTTTGAGTTGGTTTATTGCCTGGGTTTCAATTTGACCCGCCCGACAATTTAAGCTTTTGCCAAAGGAGCTGAGAACAGCCCAGAAACCTTGCGTTCTTGCTCTACCGAGAAAAAAGTGAGAAAAACATGTCCTTGGCTCTCACCTGTCTAGTCGTCGCCTATTTGGTCTGCGTTTGGCAGAGGTTGGCCATCATCCTCTTGTAGCGGTCGAAGACAGTAAGTTTGCTGAAGTGCTCTTTGCCACAGGATCGCAGGGTTTTGATAACAACTCGACCCGTGTCTTTTGTGGCTTACTGATGTCCCTGGTCATTCATCGAGATAATGTTCCATTTGCCGAAATGGATATGTTGTATTTTTTCCCCTGTTGGTTTTACAAGGAATCTATCGCTATTTGCCGAAATGGATATGTTTCCCCCCCCTGTTGGTTTTACAAGGAATCTATCGCTATTGTACACGTTTGTTTGGTTTTCCAGGGTTAAGCAAATGGAGGTTCCAGAATGACTGGGCCATGCCTAGCAAATCGAAAATGTGGCTGTGGCTATTGGATTCGATCTCAAGCGGAGGAACGGCGTGGGAAGGACTGGTGGAATTCTTCGAAAGAGAAGCACGCCCACAGATTGGCGTCTAACATGGCTGTGGTGGTCCAAAAATAGGCAAACCCCAAAATGGCTTGCCCTGGGAAGTGGAAACATGGACCAAAACCTGCGGTCCGAATCCTGGTGGTTTAGTTTTGACCCATACCCACATAGGAGACTTTCAAAGATAGATGTGCCTTTGTGGTTCCCTTTCAGACACCAGACACCATCCGAACCGAGGTCTCACTCTAGGACACCCATATTGGACGACTCACAGCTGATTGGTTCCCATAATTGGCTGCCTCTTGACGAGGTTGCAATTTGGGGCATGTTGCGAGCGATTTAACTAAGCTCAGGCTGGGAGATATGGTTAAAGCTCCACCAATACTGTGAAGTCTAGTTGTATCCTTTCCGTTGTTGATCATAGTGTGGCTGTTTTGCCAACATTGGTGTTTGCAGACTTTGTGTGTCCTTTTCCATGCAAACATTGCAATAGTTGTTCACATTGTTTGCAGCAGTAGTATCTTGGATAATTACGAGCACACAAGCTTGCATCTAGAACACACCCTCCGAGCAGATGAGCAGGGTTGGATGGGCTTGCCAATCTGCGACCTGTTGATTTTGTCCATGAGGTGACAACACTTCTCTCATGGAGCAGATTGTGAGCATGGGCTCCTCGGCAAAGAGAGATCCAGGCTGAATCACTTCTTCAACGTGACTGTACAAGTGCATCACCAAACACACGCTTGAGCCTCAAGGGCCCCCTTCAGAGTCGAATAACTCTTGCCGATTGGAATGTGGTTGTTTCTGTTTGAGTTTTCAACAAAAAAAAAAAACGCATTCCTTGCAATGCTTAGTCCCCTTGGCAACCGCACGGTGGCAAGTCTGGCAATGGAAACTGCAGGCAGTGTGTTTTTGAATGGGGCGCCAAGTTAATCTGGGCGCAAGGGGGGTTCTTGCATAAAATGTTTGTATTGCTTGCTGGTGCTCAGTAGGGAATGCGGGGATGCACCTCAGGATTCCCTGAAAGGAAACCACCAGGCATGGTTTATAGGGGTCATTCCATTCCATGCTGAGCACCAGCAAGATTGCTCTCGGTGCTTCCTACTGTGGGTGGACGAAATCCTGCACCACTTTGAAACCATAGCAAACCATACCGTTTGTTGGTATTTACAGTAGCATCACCCCAGGGTTTTTTAGGTGGTGCCTAATAGGATTTCGCAACTATCCACAGTAATTAGGAATGGACCCGCAAAGCCGGCTTGACTTACGGAAATTCTGGGCACATGCTGGCACAGTCCGCAGAAGCAGGAGCCGCTCAAACACCCACAAGATGATGCATTCACGATGACGGACTGTGGGAGTTGGCTCCCAGGCGAGGGTTCTTCTGTTTCTCATGATTTGGCAAAGTCGCCAATGGTACCATCTTGGGGTAGATGCACCACCCATTTTAGGCTTCCTATTTTAGTGGGGATTGGGATGTTCACCGGGGGTACGGGATTTTGTCCCATGGCCATTTGTTTGGAGCAAGGCATGGGTTTGATTGGGTGTCATGCCTTTGAGGCCTTGTTTGGATTAAAATTGAACTTAGTGCAATACCACTTGCGCTCAAACAGAAAACAGTAGGATATGAGTGTGTCAAGTCTGTGTTGTGTTCGGACAAGGGGGCACAGCACCGGGCATCGTGAGTTCATTCGGTACGCAAACATTGGCTGTCCAGACAAGAGTGATACACCGATGAAGGAGGATGGGCCAGAGAGATGACTTCTGCATTTGTCCGTACAGCAAGATGCCTTGACACCGACCAAGCAGGAGCCAATGGGCAGCAGTACCACACCCACCTCTCGGGCATCTTAGTTTAACTCGGGATGTTTTTCGGTGTCAAGTTGAGGTAACTGATGCTTGTGGGAGGTAACTGATGCTGGTGGCCAGTTCTTGGTGTCCCAGCTTCCTTGGACTGGCTCTACTTGTAGCATGCTCCGACTTCATCGAGGCGGAGGGGTACTTGACTTGCTGTGAGCAGATTCGGAGTCAGGCGCCGAATTTCGTGGATTGTGGTACTGGATATGGAATATAGCCAACCCGGTAGCCGACAGATATAGGAGAGTTTTGTGGACTAACTATGTTGGACGCAAGCTACCGGTTTTGGATTTGCCTTGACTCGGCATGCGGATGTTTGACTGCAACAATGTTAGCATGCCGAACAAATAGGTGCAAGGATGGGATTTCAAGAGCTGAAGGGATAGTAAATGTCCATCGAGTGGCTTTTGCTTTGCGGTGCAAAGCATTAGTTGAGCGCATTTTGCCTTCAGCCCTATGGTTCACAGCGGCAAACATGGTTAGGTACCCTCCCTCCCACGACTGTGACACCTGACAGGTTTTTGGGTCCCTTGAAGAGGAACATGATCTTCCAGGTAGCCTCCCACAGGTGCGATACTCGTGGGAGGAAGGGTAATGTTGAGTTCTTCAAGGTGTCCCAATGTTAATTAGCGAGAGGTAGGAATCTCTCTATATATATATGTATTCATTATATTAGCATAGGCAAGTTGTGAGACCAGCGCTTTCCACCATTTTCCTCCAGCGTGCCAGCTTTGGGCACGCGTGCCGCGTCCTTCAAGGATCACTGCCTGAATCAGTCCACAGGAGTGCGTTCTCTGTTCAGACTGTCTGATGGGTTTCATGTCGGCCCTTTTCAAAAGCGGGCTATGGGTTCAACCATTTCATGCTGATCCAAGACCTAGCTGATCCAAGAGCTCTAGAAGAATAATTCATGCTTAGACATAGCGCGGCCGTGGCCATGGGACAATGAGCGATATCATGATTCAGTCGGACATCGCCCGTTGTTACCTGAGGTTATTCGCAGATGCAGCTGGATGCCGCGCTAAATGCACGGATCGCCAATGCCGGCGACCAAGCTGTGTGGGTGGCGTCTCCGTGTCGTGGGGGCAGCTTCCTGCCTTTTGCGTATCATGGGCAAGGTGCATCGAATGAGGAGCATGAGTTTTGTTGTCCGCCTCAGGTTCTTAAGCATTCGGTCAAGGCATCTTTGGATAGCGCGCTCGACCCCACCTGACATGAGTTCAACCCCACATGCGTCCCAACGTTCAACACATTTGTTCGCTGCTTCACCTTGTCTTGCTGGTATGACCCAAGAAAAACCATCCCTTGTGGCTTCATTTGACGGAATCCCCTGGTTCATTCCATTTCTCATTCCCCGCTTATCGCCCCAAGGGCTCGCTTGCAGAAAGCATCGCCCGAGCATCGGTGGCCATGGGTCAAAAGCCCGTACCCCAAGTGAACATCCCAATCCAACCACTAAATTAGGAAGCCTAAACTGGGTGGTGAATTCACCTATCCCAACCAACATGGGATCCCCTTTAACGGTTTTGACACAGCCAGGTCACCGTGAACGACAATGAGCCCTTGAATGAGCTGCGGGACATGGCCCGGACCTCGAGGGTGTCACTGTAACGTGTAGAACGATCAGGTAGAGCCGTTTGTGTACGTAAGTCATGGCTGAGAGATGTGATGCGTACTTGCTTCGCCCATGTTTTGCAATTTGAACCTGTTTTTGGCAGGGCAAGGGATGTCAACAGGTAAATGCTCACTTGTAGAACATACTAGCGCATATTCCGCCATCCGCATGTATTGTACTTCGTGTGCTCACATAGGTTGAATGCTAATCAGCCGACATGGGCGCTGGTCATTGGTGTTAAGATATTGCATGTCAGCATCCCTGTACAAAGCACAGCGTACCATGAACATGTCCCGCACTCTCAAAACCTCTGCATGAATTTGCCCGCAAAACCGGTGGCTATACGCCTTGACCATTGGTTATGTCATATGTGATGATACACATGCATGAGCTTCTACGGATCCTTACATCCCATAGGTTGAGCTGATGGGCTCCAGTAGAGGTTGCCCTTTAGCCAATGTGGCTGTTTGTTTTTGTGTTGTGCACAAGTCAGCTAGTTTCGTTGCTCTTCCATCGGGTGTCTATTCTACAGGCCTTGATTTCAGCCTCCCCTTTGGAGCCGCTCTGATGTCTTTCCCCGAACAAATGGGACTGAATATGGGACCCAAAGCTGACGCACTACACATCTGAAGCGAAGCTCGAAGAAACAACATGCAGAGTATTTCTGTCGAGGGAGCCCTGCTTTGCATGCTAGCCTTGCTTTCCTCAGAGGTATACACATTGTGCATGTTGCTGAAGTTATGCTTCGTGAAAGCCTAGCTTCGATCTGCCAAACCGAGCCTTTCATGCGGATCTTGGGAAGGCATGCAATGCGTCGGACGTTGCCTGCTCACATCGGAGCTTCATTTGGATGCCCTGACGCTTGTTTTTGCGCACATACAAAATACTCATAGCCTGCAAGGGTTCACTATGCTGCCGCATTCGCAGTTGCTTGCCATGTTTCTTGTTCACCATGGCCATTCAACCACAACAAACCCATTGACTTCCGGAGAGAAAGCGACAATAGTTGTTTTGCCTTTCCTGCTGAGGTGACCTTCAGGGATTCAGGCATCCCAGAGGTGTAAGGTTGATAGATCGAGGAGGCAAACTTATAGACTTAAGTAGCCCGAATAACTTGTGGATGGTCTTGAACAGCAAAATACACAGTTTGACCTTTTGTCAGTTTTGAACAGGAAAGCTAGAAACGCTCGGCATCCTATTTTGACACATTGAAATGTGGGTTATTGATTTAGTGCGAGAACGATGACACTCATGTGGGTGTCAGGCAGAAACAAAACAACCCGATACCTTGTGTTCAATGGTGTGAGCCAATCATGAGAAGCATAGCTACCCAAGATTGCGCGGGAAGGACAGGTAGGGAGCCTTGCCAGCATTGTATGGAGAAGGCAGGCATGCTTCAACCATTTTGCGGCCTAGCGCATGGAGGCATGAGGTGCTTTGAGGAGCCAGAGACAGTCGGAACTGGGTGGTTCCCAGCCATCCGGTTCTTGGGGTTTGGGATTTGTTTGGTTGGTTTGGTTGGGTTTCCGAATTTAAGCTCAAGTCAAGTTAGTCACTTTTCGCAGGGGATCCCGCAACAAAAAAGGCAGGGAGAGCCCTGGCTTGGACATGGCTGGGTTCGTCTCTCGCGCCTTGCCAGGAGAGGGAACGCTGCAAAGACCTGCTGGCCCTTCAAGCCAAGGAGATCGCCACCCTGCAGGCAGGATGGCGGGGTTCAGCCACCTTGTCCATTCTTTTCAGCTAGAGAGGGTTGTAACCACGACAAAGAACATGTTACAACGACAAAGGTCATTGTTACAACGACAAAGAATCTTGTTACACCGACAAGTTTCAGTGAAGACTATCCCGACAAGGCTTCTACTACTATTACTATTACTGCTATTACTACTACTACTACTATTACTACTACTACTATTACTACTACTACTATTACTACTATCACTACTACTACTATTACTACTATTACTACTACTACTATTACTACTATTACTACTACTACTATTACTACTACTACTACTATTACTACTATTACTATACTACTATTACTACTACTAATACTACTACTATTACTACTACTACTATTATTACTACTACTATTACTACTATTACTACTACTACTATTACTACTATTACTACTACTACTATTACTACTACTATTACTATTACTACTATTACTACTATTATTCCTTCTTATTCCTTTCTATTGACCTTCTTATTCCTTCTTATTCCTTTCTATTGACCTTCTCATTCCTTGTTATTCCTTTCTATTGTCCTTCTTATTCCTTCTTATTCATTTCTATTGACCTTCTTATTCCTTCTTATTCCTTTCTATTGACCTTCTTATTCCTTCTTATTCCGTTCTATTGACCTTCTCATTCATTCTTATTCCTTTCTAATCACATTCTCATTCCTTCTTATTCCTTTCTATTGACCTTCTTATTCCTTCTTATTCCTTCCTATTTACATTCTTATTCCTTCTTATTCCTTTCTATTGACCTTCTTATTCCTATTCATTCCTTTCTAATCACCTTCTTATTCCTTCTTATTCCTTCTTATTGACCTTCTTATTCCTTCTTATTCTTTTCTATTCACATTCTTATTCATTCTTATTCATTTCTATCCACATTCTTATTCCTTCTTATTCCTTTCTATTGACCTTCTTATTCCTTGCTATTGATCTTCTTAGACCTTCTTATTCCTTCTTATTCCTTTCTATTGACCTTCTTATTCCTTCTTATTCCTTTCTATTGACCTTCTTATTCCTTCTTATTCCTTTCTATTGACCTTCTTATTCCTTCTTATTCCTTTCTATTGACCTTCTTATTCCTTCTTATTCCTTTCTATTGACCTTCTTATTCCTTCTTATTCCTTTCTATTCATTCTTATTCCTTCTTATTCCTTTCTAATCACCTTCTTATTCCTTCTTATTCCTTTCTATTGACCTTCTTATTCCTTCTTATTCCTTTCTATTGACCTTCTTATTCCTTCTTATTCCTTTCTATTGACCTTCTTATTCCTTCTTATTCCGTTCTATTGACCTTCTTATTCCTTCTTATTCCTTTCTATTGACCTTCTTATTCCTTCTTATTCCTTTCTATTGACCTTCTTATTCCTTCTTATTCCTTTCTATTGACCTTCTTATTCCTTCTTATTCCTTTCTATTCACCTTCTTATTCCTTCTTATTCCTTTCTATTGACCTTCTTATTCCTTCTTATTCCTTTCTATTGACCTTCTTATTCCTTCTTATTCCTTTCTATTGACCCTCTCATTCCTTCTTATTCCTTTCTATTGACCTTCTTATTCCTTCTTATTCCTTTCTTATTCATTGACCTTCTTATTCCTTCTTATTGACCTTCTTATTCCTTCTTATTCCTTTCTATTGACCTTCTTATTCCTTCTTATTCCTTCTTATTGACCTTCTTATTCCTTCTTATTCCCTTCTTATTCATTCTTATTCCTTCTTATTCATTCTTATTCATTCTTCTTATTCATTCTTATTCCTTTCTATTGACCTTCTTATTCCTTCTTATTCCTTCCTATTTACCTTCTTATTCCTTCTTATTCCTTTCTATTGACCTTCTTATTCCTTCTCATTCCTTTCTAATCACCTTCTTATTCCTTCTTATTCCTTCTTATTGACCTTCTTATTCCTTCTTATTCTTTTCTATTCACATTCTTATTCATTCTTATTCCTTTCTATTGACATTCTTATTCCTTCTTATTCCTTCCTATTTACCTTCTTATTCCTTCTTATTCCTTTCCATTGACCTTCTTATTCCTTCTTATTCCTTTCTATTGACCATCTCATTCCTTCTTATTCCTTTCTATTGTCCTTCTTATTCCTTCTTATTCTTTTCTATTGACCTTCTTATTCCTTCTTATGCCTTTCTATTGACCTTCTTATTCTCTCTTATTCCTTCTTATTGACCTTCTTATTCATTCTTATTCCTTTCTATTCACATTCTTATTCATTCTTATTCCTTTCTATTGACCTTCTTATTCCTTCTTATTCTTTCCTATTTACCTTCTTATTCCTTCTTATTCCTTTCTATTGACCTTCCTAATCCTTCTCATTGCTTTCTAATCACCTTCTTATTCCTTCTTATTCCTTCTTATTGACCTTCTTATTCCTTCTTATTCTTTTCTATTCACATTCTTATTCATTCTTATTCCTTTCTATTGACATTCTTATTCCTTCTTATTCCTTCCTATTTACCTTCTTATTCCTTCTTATTCCTTTCCATTGACCTTCTTATTCCTTCTTATTCCTTTCTATTGACCTTCTTATTCCTTCTTATTCCTTTCTATTCACATTCTTATTCCTTCTTATTCATTTCTATTGGCCTTCTTATTCCTTGCTATTGACCTTCTCAGACTTTCTTATTCCTTCTTATTCCTTTCTATTGACCTTCTTATTCCTTCTTATTCCTTTCTATTGACCTTCTTATTCCTTCTTATTCCTTTCTATTGACCTTCTTATTCCTTCTTATTCCTTCCTATTTACTTTCTTATTCCTTCTTATTCCTTTCTATTGAGCTTCTTATTCCTTCTTATTCCTTTCTAATCACCTTCTTATTCCTTCTTATTCCTTCTTATTGACATTCGTATTCCTTCTTATTCCTTTCTATTCACATTCTTATTCCTTCTTATTCCTTTCTAATCACCTTCTTATTCCTTCTTATTCCTTTCTATTGACCTTCTTATTCCTTCTTATTCCTTTCTACTGACCTTCTTATTCCTTCTTATTCCTTTCTATTGACTTTCTTATTCATTCTTATTCCTTTCTAATCACCTTCTCATTCCTTCTTATTCCTTTCTATTGACCTTCTTATTCCTTCTTATTCCTTTCTACTGACCTTCTTATTCCTTCTTATTCCTTTCTGTTGACCTTCTTATTCCTTCTTATTCCTTTCTAATCACCTTCTTATTCCTTCTTATTCCTTTCTATTGACCTTCTTATTCCTTCTTATTCCATTCTATTGACCTTCTTATTCCTTCTTATTCCTTTCTATTCACCTTCTTGTTCCTTGTTATTCCTTTCTATTCACATTCTTATTCCTTCTTATTCCTTTCTATTGACCTTCTTATTCCTTCTTATTCCTTCTTATTGACCTTCTCATGCCTTCTTATTCCTTTCTATTTCCCTGCTTGTCGGGATAAGCCCGCAAGAAACATGTCGCTGTAACGCTTTTTTTCTGCCGTGGTAACATTGCACCTTGTCATGGTAACAAAATCGCGTTTTTGTCGTGGTTACAACCCCCTCTCCTTTTCAGCCATCGTTATTTTCGAAAACCAGCTGTTTTCCCAGGGTTTTTGGTGGTTTTTTAGAAAGAAGGATCCCTGGAAAAAATAGGGAAGTTACCCCTAGCATCTTGAAGTGAATCCATTTCCCCAGGGTTGTGGCTTTTGTAGAAAGATTCGGATCCCTGGAAAGAATGGAAATGGAAGTTACCCCTAGAAGGATGGCAGCGAGGGCAGATGGGGTGTTGACCCCCGGATGAATCACCCCCCTCGCAGGAATGCAGGCACGAGACAGATGGCAAAAGGTAGAATACAAGCAGGCCCCGGATTTTTTAAACACCTCCTGATATCAGGAACCTGTTCCCCGTCCAAAAGTGATGAACCCCCAGTACAAGGGGACGCCCCATGAAAGTCAAGCAGGTGATTAACCCGGGCTCAGTATGTATTTTGGCGCGCAAAAGCTAGGAGATCTCGCCTACGGAAATCGCTCTGCTGAACCAAGTGAGCGCCCAAAACCCTCAAGTGAAGATTTGAGACGGTTCTTGCAGCATGCTTCCGCGGAAGAAAACATGTAGGTTGCGCAAGGTTTGTTGCCTCCGCGCAAGCTCCCAGGATTCTCTCGTCTGCTTCAACCAAGCTTTAGTTTGAGGCTGCGCCTGCGACATTTGTACTGACAAGTTGCGATGGCGCTGAAACGACCAAAGTTGCACGCTGGACTTGAAGGCTGCGTAGGTGATATGCGAGCAAAACCGGTGGTCACACAACACCCGCGCGCCGGGGAAGGTTTCGCGGAAGTGCGAAGAGCGGGACCTCTGCCGCATTGGGGGCGTGTGTGTGTGTGTGTCGCCCGACACATGAGGACACGTGAAAGTTCTCAGCAGAAAGAACGTCGAATTGGTTGTGCATTGAGTGCCGCAAGGTGGCCTGGTATGAGGGGCTATACCCACACAAACAAACACAAGCACACACATCTACATTCATGATGTCAGACACATGACACATATCCTCCACTGCCCGCATGTGTTGGTCAAGAGGGCCTTATGAGCCCTTGCAGCATTCGCCGCTTGCTGTTGGATGATATGGCCTCGTCATCTCACTATACTGTTTTGTCTATCTTTGGCCAGTGGAAAAGCATACCGGCCAGCCGGTTGCTGTACTTTTTTAGGTCCTATTGGCGCTTCAGTGTCCTCTTTGCATGCACCAACTATAGCCGTCTCTGCCTGGTGATGAAGCCTTCATTTCTGTAGCCACGCACTCCGTTTAGGTTTCTCTCGCAGGTCCATGTCAATATCTGGAAAACCCATGTGCACAGTAGCTGCTTGTCGCGTTAAGATCTTTCCAGTGAGCAGCGCAGCCAGATGGAGGGCACAGATCGGCTTGTGAAACTCGTGTTGAGCTGAAGGCAAGCCGACGAACAACTAGGCTCTGGGAGCTTTCCCGTGGACCCCTTGCTGACTGGAACACTTGGAGAGCGGGGATTTGTCACGCCAGATCTCTCGAGGGCGTCTGCGCTTAGCTCTACACATCATCCTTTCCCACATGATTTTTTTGTTTTTTGTTTGTTTCTGTTTTTTGCTTAAGAGGATTTGCAAAAATGATAAAAATGATCAATATGATCCATGTAGAGATTCCCGATCCTATCCTACCTGTACTTATGACAGAACGCTGGACCAAAGACAATGAACCGATAATTTCTTCGGTGCGTTCCAGTGGCAACGAGGTTCAAGAGCGAATTAGTGCCTTCGAGATGCTTTGTCGTTCAACGGTGGTGTGGGATGAGCAGGATACTGTTGATTCAAAGAAGGGCCAGCCATAGCCATGCTGTTGTTCCACTGCTTTCATGGTCCTATGTGAAACTAACAGACTGGGAAGGTCTGAGAGATGGATTACGTGTCATCCTAATGTTTTGTATCTTTCAGCATGACATGTTCAACATCGTTTATAAAACATGAGTTAATGCAAAGACAACTAGGAGCACAACGGCTACATTATGTATATATACGACAGGAACATGGCATTTTCCTAATCGGACGTGAACAAGACAGACAAGTTCGGCAAGACATCCAGTCTATTGTGAATTTGGCTCCTGGACTCGCTCATTTCGCAGGAAAGCATGACTCACAAATTTTGAATGTCCATGGGCAGTTCACATGCAATCCTTTGTCCTTATCCAGTGTTGCGAAAGAGTCTCATGTGTGGTTTTTCCATTACAGATTGTGGATTTGGCTGACACTCCATTTGGCTGTGGGACAAAACCAACGGTGCCATTCTGGGCTAGGTGCACCACCCATTTTAGAAGAAATTTTAGCGGGGATGGGGATGTTCACTGGGCCTGCGATTTGGATTTGACCCATTTGGAACAGCCCGGAAAACGGGTTGCCGCCCTGGGAAACAAAAAAGTCTGCCGGCCCGCGGCGCGGCTCGGGCAGGCGGAGATCAATCTGTTCCGCAAGAAGGGCGGCCACATTTACACCACGGCCAGAGCCTGAGAGAGTCAAATGAGCCACGTGCTCAAAATCGATTCGGGTAGAAGGTTGGTAAGGGACAATCCCCTTGCCATAAATAGCGGCACATAGCCGCCTTCTCTTGAAGCATGGTTCTGGGATTACGACCATCTTTGTACCGGGTTTTGATGACTCAAATTGCAGGTCTCGGATGAATCTCCTCCTTCAGGGCCAACCCCAAACCTGAGGCTTAAGGGAACCTTTGGAACCTCTCATAGGTAGCAAGTGGATGCTGAGAGTCCTCTCCTGAGTGTGGGTTTTTACAGGTGTTGGAGCACGGGTGTCCTTTTGAGTTTGGATCGAAATAGATGGGTTTCACTGATATAGATTGGGTTTATTCCATGCACCGGGGCTATCGACTTGTTCAAAAGGTTGCCTATGTTTTGGAGTGTATGTTCAGCCGGAGCCGGTGGCCAGGTTGTAGGCGCAGGTCTTTGTGCCTGTCCATCTTTGCCTGGTTACAGTGGTGATGGTACTGGTGGCGTGATGGCCTTGCTGATGGTCACCGTTTGTTTTCCGTACGTAGTGATCATCGGTCTCACTTTTGAAGCGTACCGGCGTGGTTGTGGAACGAGGGAGCTTACGCTGTGCATTTGCATTGTGGCATATGTCTGCAATGTATTTGAGCTCGCTTACTTTGCTGGATACTAGGAGAACCAGGGGCGCCTCTTCTGTCCCTAGCTGCGCCTTCGAGCTACGCTTTGGGAGTTGACGATATGTCTGAGGAAATCCCGAGCGAAGTAGTTCGTAGATAAGGGACGATCATCCTTGAGGCAGAGTAGAAACAATTCTATGAGGATTCACATCCCCAAACCACCCCCAAGAACGAATGGGGCATACGGCATACACCGTTCAGTGGCTTGAGTCGTGGTTTTACCCATCGCGACCCTTCTGCCGCAACATGGCCCCTGGGTCGAGAAGAAAGACAAAAAGTGGCCATGGGTTACGCATCACCTATGGCGATCCCATTTTGGGGTGGATGAACATCCATTTGCCACCTACTGTGGATGGACGAAATCCTGCACCACCTAGGAAACCCTGGAATGATGATTCCCCTGTAAATTCCAACGAACAATGGTTTGCATTGGTTTCAAAGTGGTGCAGGAATTTGTCCATCCACAGTATTTTGATGTTCAGGGGTTTCCAGGGCTCTGACCCACAGCCAAGTCATCTCTGCTCGCTGAGGTCACCGCCAACCGCTCGGGTTAGGTGGGCCAATGGATTGTGAGTGACTAGACTCGGAGAAGCCGCCGAAGGGACCACACAGCGGCAGATGAATGGTTTTTGCCGTTTTTTCATAGGCCTCTGTTTGATCGGCTAGCCTGATTAGAAGTAGATGGGTTTCACTGGTTTAGATGGGTTTTATTTCATTTACCAGGGCCGAATCTATGTTACCAAAGGACACCTGTGGTCTTTTTGTCCTTTTTGGTTTCCTCCCTCAACCCATTCTTTACAAATACTCACACTCGCCCATACTTCAGGTGATTGGGCAACAAATGACAACAGCGCAACCAGCCCAATTCGCCGAGAATTTCGGCGAAGGCAGGTTTTCACCGGAGCTGCGTGAAGAGCCTTGCAAATCGCTGAATTCACCAAGGCTGCAGCATTTCACCCGTGTCTCACTTCACCCGTGTCTCACTTGATTGCAAGCAACGGTCAAGCCCTCGAAAAGACTTGAACATCGCCCCGTTCGTCAGATTTCTTGGTCTCGGAAGAATGGATTTGCCATGGGCACACACACAACATCCCTTCCTTCACTGTTGTTGGATGATGTTTTTTTAGAATTTCAGGTTTTTGTGTTCTGTTCATGTTTAGTAAGGGGCCGCAAAAAGCAGTCAGGTTTTTGCAAGCCCACACCGTTTGGGTAGGAAGATTTGCGCAACCGCTTCTCACAAAAGTCCAGGTTTGTTTAGTGCAGCCAACTTTTTGTCCATTTGCTGAAATGCCGATGTTTCATGCTCCCCGTTTCAAAGGGATCGATGTCACTATTGGAAGAATGTTCTCATTTGGGTACGGGTCAAAATTATACCACCAGGGGACCGCAGGTTTTAGTCCTTGTTTCCATTTACTAGGGTTCCATTTGGGGTACCCATTTCTCGACCCACAGCCAAATGACGATTTTTCATGTTCCCGTTTTACAGGGGATCGATTTCACCATTGGAAGAATGTTCTCATTTGTTCCAGGGGGCCGAAAAAGCACATTTCTAGGGTTGATTCCCCATTCTTGTCAGCCATCGTTCTTTTCAATAACCAGCCATGTCCCCCGGGTTTTTGGTGGTATCCTGGAAAGAATGGGCCCATAAAATTGAGGTTTGTGAGAGTTGACTCCAAACACGAATCTGGAAGGACTTGTAGCGAAAAGGCACCAACTCACGTCGGCACAGACTCCGCTGACCTGCTGAAACACGACCATTTTATTTTCAGGCAGTGAAATGCTATGCTTCCTCGACTATTTTTAAAATAGGGGTTGTTCAACCCCGTTTCTTTTTTGCATTGACAACCCCAACCGTCACACCGTAGTTTTTTTAGGGTTTGGAAGCATAGCGCAGTCTTTGTCTTACTGACAACCACTATTGTCACAACGATCTTTTTTTGGCTTTGGAAGCATAGGGCAAATGTTTTTTTGGGTTGGAATTCTTCTGCTTCCGGTGGGCACTGAATCTTGTCAAGCACATGCTCAGATAGCCATTGGCGACATGCCATGGACTGGACCGAAAATGCTTGGCTTGGCAAGGCCCTTTGTCGACGAAGACCCTTTGGCACAGCTGCAGTTTTCTTGATTGCTCTTGGGTTGGTTTTCTTTGGACATTACCTTTTGAAATCACGTTGGGTTTTCCGCTAAAGCCGCAAAAAGTGAAAGACTTCTTGCAGAGGGCTCAACAGCAGCCAAGTTTTCGTGGGCTCTTTCGGAGCAACCGGTAAGCAATCCGCAGCTCTCTCCATGGCTTTCAGCTTGAGCCTTTCAAAGTTTCCTCCCACTTGTCGGCCTTAAGTTTTTGTTTTTTTTTAGAGGGTACCCCCCTTTGTTGTGGTTTTAAAGGGAACCAAAAGGACAACTACTTTTTTGGGCGGGGGGCCTAAAAAAGACGCCCTTTCTATGGAACATCGAGGGTTCAATTGGCTCCTAGATTGGCCTAGCTTGACTCCTCGACATGCCTCACTTTGATTATCGAGTTGTTCGCACATGTTTCATTGCGCTGCATCTTGTCAGAACAATTGTTACGAGAACTACCTCGCTGCGACCCATCACGACAAGTGTTGGCACTTTCCAGCTGATCATGACTTGAACGTCTTTACTTTGCGACCGCCAGCGCTGGCAACTTGGACAGCCTCGCTGCAGCCTCTTTGCGCCGTGTTGCTGCCATGGTCAGGGAATCGCCATTGCCGCCCCGCAGGACGTTGTGTGTGTGTGTGTGCGTGTGACTGCATGATAGAAATATCGAGAAACAAAACATGTGAGCATCGCCCAAAACCCTGAAGCGAAGATGTGAGACGAGGTCCTTCTAGCATGCTTCCACATAAGAAAACAAGTGGGTCGCGCAAACTTGCGTGAGGTTTGTTAAGAAATGCCTTTTCACTGTGGAGAGTCTCGCAAATTTATATTTCCTATAGTGGAGTTAAGAAATCTGAGTTTTTTTCGAGACTCTGGGAGATAAAACTTTGTGGGGTCTTAGCTCCAAGGGTGGAGCCTTTTTTGTTGCCCTGTGGACTGCTCAACTAGAGTAGCCAAAAACAAGGTCTGAACCCAGTCTGAGAGAAATCAGGGAGGGTCGTTCTCCATTTGGCCAACGTGTTGTGCTTCTGCCATAGTGCTCCCGCATCAGAAGCTCCCTACGGTGTGGTGGTGAGGCTTGCAAGTGACATCCAAATCGCAACGGGTGCGATTTGGAAGCGGTTTGCTTCCCTCCTCGCAGGTAGGCAGTGGTTGCAGCCAAAGTGCAATTCGCGCATCGCACCCGTTGCACCCCTCAAAACGTGCCATCCGCAGCCTCAATCCCAATCAAAAGCCGACGCATAGACCCGCCAGCATAGACTGCTGACCTGAATCTGCTTGTTGAAGCTGTTGTAAGGGACATGCAGCTTCTAGTTGCAAACGTGTAGTTGTAGACTATTCCTGTAAACGCAAATCCGGTTTGGGGGGGCTCCGAGACTCTGGGAAACTTTCTTGCCGGCCAAACGAGCGCCTCGTTTCTTGCCGAAAATGTGTTCCATGGTTGACTCAAGCCCATAGGAACCAAGGCATTGGTTGACCCTTGTTTTCTGTACAGGTGCTTAAACAGGGCTCCTTAACAGATACGTGTTGCGACCATTTGAAACATATGTTGCTTTTTTCCACCAAAATAAAGGGAAACCACCATGTACAAGGCAATGTTTAGGTGTATAATGTAAGGATCCCTGTTAAACTGGCCCTATGATCAATGAGCTTATTGACAAGTGTTGGACAAAAAAAGCGAAGTGAAGGTACAGTCCGTTGCTTCGACCCCGGGCTTATCAATCCAGGGTCCCCGGGTTGGAAAATCGCATCCAGAGTTTTGACCACGGAACGGAAGGCCTGACCTGGATCTAGCAGATAGTTGGTTGGTTTGCTTTTCTCAGTTAGACTCCCATCAAGATGGTCCAACCACAATTCGGACACTCATTTCGTGTCTCCACTTGATACGGATCGCCTGATCGGAAGGATCTGCCGGGGTTCTCGTCGGAATCTCCTTTAAGACCACGTTGAAGGAGGTCTCTGTAACACACCAATGCCACCATTCTGCCAGAGCCATATTCATGGGTGCAGCCGCCTTGTTATTTCTTTACATGGTTTTGGGTCGACCATTTGTGTACCAGGTTTTGATTGTGACTCATGTCGAAGGAGGTCTCTATAAAACATGACCCTTTTGAGGAGACTGTGAAGAGAGAATCACACGTGCTCCTCACATTACCCTCGGTGCTCGGGACAGCAAAGAGTTGTGCGGCGGCTTCTCTTACAAAAAAAACGTGTGTAACCGAACTGGCTGTGGTGGTCAAAACCGTTTTGGGATCCCATTTTGGTTGGTAGGTGAATTCACCACCCATTTTGGAACCGTTTTTTAGTGGTTGGATTGGGATGTTCACTGGGGGGTGGGTATGATTTGAATTTTGACCCATGGCCAACGAATCAAAGGCGACTTCCTGTCAACGTGGCTTTCAACGGGTTAAATGGCAAAGCATATAGGTATCGGCTTGTCACACATTAATTGTTCAATCTGGTGCGCTCATTTTGTCAGTTGATGATTCACACTTGTTCATTTTGCAAGAACCGGACAGAGCCATTTGCTTAAAAAAGTTGTTTGTCATTTTCCCTTGTTGGTTGGAAAAGGAACTTGTCACTACTGTTTTTTTTTGTTTTCCAGGGGTCTTCACCAAATGGAAGGGACAGGGCACGCTTGGCTCGCGCCCCGCCAGGAGCGCCCTGCAATTAGCCCTCGCCCTCCTTGCGCCGTCGGCGTCTCACGCCGCATCTCAAGCTGCGCCAGTGGGGTACCGCTCACTGCGGCTGAGGGGTGCGCAAAATGCGCCCGTGAGCCTGTGGTACCCTACGCGGGCAAAGGGCGCCGTGGAGAAGGCGAACGTGTTGGGCACTGACGCATCCACTAGGTCCCCCAGTAGTGCCCTTTTACCAACTTTTTTGGGGGAGGCTTCCCCTACTAAAATACGCTACAGCAAAAGGGGTACCCTTCTTCTAACCTCTCTACTGGAGGACCTAGTCCAGCAATTTCGGCTATCACGACACGACATCGGTAACCTTGCGAAACTAACATGTGTACCCAGCAAATTGGCGGCACCCCTTTCGTTTTACCACGCAAGCGGGTTAAACAACGTTAAACAACATAACTTGCAGCAAAAGCTGAAAATGGACAACAATGTGGCCGCGGAAGCAACAGTAGCCAGAACATGCCCGCGGAAGCTCGGGGAAGCGTCTTTAACAAAGACATACCCGCCTTGGAAGCAACGCTTCAAGCCGCGGAAGGGTGGGCGGAGGCTTGAATGTTGTCATGGGAAGAATGAGTCAATGTGAGAATAACTATATAAGCGGTTTCTTCGTGAATTGCGACACGCCAAAGTTGATTTACCTTTGCTGCCTATGGTGTCCTTTTTTTTGGGTTAGTGTGGTGAGAAATAGATGTGTTCCAAATGGTTTCGATGGGTTCTATGCCCCATGTACCAGGGAAACCCATCGATGCGTCCAAAGGTCACCGATGTTTTTTTTTCTTCCCGAGAGCTTCCTTTGAGGTCATGGTCCGTACAGCCGGCGTGCCGCGAGGCGCCTTATCGGCACTACATCAGCGTGGCACGGCTTCCTGGATGCAGAGACACGCGTGTCTCGCAGCGGGACAACTTTGCTTGCCGGTTCTCAGGGAATGAGAAATGGCTGTGGCTCAAAAAGCCGGTACCAAAATGGCTTGCCCTGGTAAGTAATTAGAAACATTGACCAAAACCTGTGCAACCCCTCCTGTTTAATTTTGAGCCACACCCAAATGGGTCTGGGTCAGCAAACGGTACAAGAACCCTGGTAAGTGGAACCAACGACTAAAACCTGCGGTCCCCAACCGGTGCAATCTTGATCCATACCCAAATGGCATGACCCCGAGATAAACCATCCCCAATTCGATTTTCTTTAAGGGAATCCCCTTCCGGTTATTCCCAACACCCGGAAGGTCATTCCCTTCTCAGAACCAGCAAATTTGGCCCCCCTCTCTCTGCGTTACACCTAGAAGGCATGCCTCTCATGTTACCCGGAATGTCAGGGAGAGGAGAATTCTGCTGACGGTTCCATTTCCCCTTATATTACTGGATATAATATATATATATATATTGATGATTTCATTTCCCCTTATACACAAACATGCGCATATATAGATATATATATATATATACATATCCCTGTGAATCCATGTAGGCAAATATGGCATACATTGCAATGTCGCCATTTTTTGGGTACGTCGGACATGTTGACCAAAAACCATGACATTGTCGAAAGTTGTCGGAGCTTCAACCCACATAGCTGTCCAATGTAGCCATTTTGGCTGATGCAAGCCGGGCTCAGTGACAGAGGTCAAAAACACAGTTGAGTTGCAATGCAAACCGCAGGATGAGACACACAAGGCATTGCAAACAGAATGTTTGCAGAGCAGTGGCCAACTACTGCATGTCGAGTGCGTTTGCCTGCCATGCGAAGAGCGCTTGCTCGACGCCTTTTGGTTGCAAATTCAGTTCGGAACAGTTGTTTTCGCTCCATTGTCGCTTCAGCGCTATTTTTGAGGCACTTCCCATGCTGGTGCTCAAGATGCGAACCCTGGTGGATCTGGCTAGCTTGAAGCATGTCCTTGCTTGACCCTGCTTGCTTGCGAATTTAGCAATGAGAACAAGAGGTGCTTGAAAATTACGCTGCTCCTAAGAGCCATTTGGGTTCCCTGACACGGCCGAGCCTCGCTGCCCAGCACAAGGCCGCGCAAGCTTTCTTTTCCGCTCGGGCCATCTCGTGCCCTCTCCCCGGCACAGGTGCCACTGCACCATGGACGTCCTGAAGCCGCAGGACTTGATCATGCTGGAGGACATCGCACCGCATTCACTCCAGAGTTGCCATGTTGTTTGAATGATTGCCCCAGGACTTTCTGAATGTTTGGCTGACCGAACACGAAGACCGGCTTCCAGCTATTCGTGCAAGGAGAGCCCCTTGACTGCAAGGCGCAATGCTAGCTGAAGGGTAGAAGTAGAAGGGTATAGCAATATCATGAGCTGTCTTAATTTTGCCGTGAGTTCGATTTGTCCCGTGTGCCTTCAATGCATCTCAGGACCATGACCTCTTTCCTCAGAAGTTCCCGGCCAATTCCATGGACATGGCAAGGGGCCCTAGCAAATTGAAAAGCAGTGGAACTTGTGTTGAAGCTTATGTGGCCTCAAGGTCGAGGCCAACTTTGAGTTCTTGGCGCACTACCACGCGACCTTCGCCGGGCATGTTCCCCTCCATTCTACACACAAGGATCCTAAGCTGCAAAAGGGTCTGAGGTGCATGATGACTTCGAAGGAATTCCTTTTCAAACCCGCAGTTCGTCAAACTCGATGCCACCTTGCAAGGAATGCCTGATTATCATGAGCAAGCGCTACAACATCCATGGCGAAAAAGTCAAAAGCAAAACAATAAAGGATTGGGCCAGCAATGAGGGTGCAGTCATTAGATCTATGGCCATGCACTCCCTGCTCAGCGCTCGAAGATCAATCGGTGCAAGGCAAGACTCTCATGCTGTTTTGAGCATGGTTGAAAACACCGCATGCGGAACTCGTTTCATGCAGCGGAATGGTGGCTCTTGCAACCAGGCGGGTGAAGACAGCGGTGCTTAAAGACATCATACGCCAAAGCATGAAGGAGTTCCAAGGCTAGGGCATGGTTATCGCGTTGTTGCTGCATGTTCATGACCCAAATTTATTTCTTTCCCTGCGCTGAAGTAAAAACTCTTTCAGGACACACTGACCCGGATGCTGCACTAGACCAACAGATTACTTGCGCGGTGGACTTGCAGATGCAGGACTCCTAGTCAGCTGTTGTGGCTTGTGTGGCATGGACGCATGTAGGGCAGTTTCATTTTTGTGGCAACAAACGGCAGGAGGATGAAGCGATGGTGGCTACTAAAATGCAGGCGCTTCAGGAGAAAGGTTCTGAGGAGAGCCTAGCATCTACGCATAGCAGTGTGCCTCAGCCTGACACCCGCATGGGCTGCCATTCTAGCCCCGACAATGCTGACACACTCCCCATGAGTGATGAACAGGCGGTTGCAGTAGCCGCTTCTTTGCTCGCCAAGGCTGAGGCTGTTGAAAACACTACGCAACTGCCGCAGGGTGCCGCGCTGAAGCGGTCTATGGTCATCATGTCTGGGCCTTCCACGCCCGTGTCTACATGCTCTGCCGCTTCACATCACACAGCCCTGGACCCGCTAGAGACGCAATTCCAAGAAGCACTTGCGGATGACCCAAAAGGTCAAATTCCTCGCACCCAAGCAGCCAAGGACTGGTTTAGTTGTTGTTTCCCTTGTTTTATTTTTCAGCAGGGGGGTGGAGGCATGAACAACGCAGACCATGCTCGAGCGGATTCAGTATGCGTGCAGGAGAGATCCAATCTGCTGCCCTTCAAGCCAGAGATGCCATCTGCGGAAGCTCAGGGCTTGCCGCAAATGGAACCCCCGCCTGATGTGCATAGCGCCCAGCTCAAGGCACTTGATCCGCGTGTGCATTCGTGCGCTTGCGTTGCAGTCACATGTGATAACCCGAGTGTGTTCGCTTTTGATGCATCGTAGTTTCACGCAGGTGCAACAGCAAGCACGCGGAGAAGCTGCGGCCAAAAAGGCCGCTAAAGCAGACAAGAAAGCAGCTAAGAGCGCGCCAGACACTGCTGTCATCAAGACAGCGACAAAACGCAAAGGCAAAGCCGGTCAACAACAGAAAGCCGCGCAGGAGGAGAAACAAAAGACAAGCAGCAAGACGGGCAACACAGACAACCCGGACCGCGAGGAAAAGGTAGCTGAGTTGAAGCACCTTTGGACACTGAAGGACGCACCGCTTTTCATATGAAATCTTCAAAGCCACAGGTTCACAATGAAGTTCACAAGGGGATAAACCATGTTCAGAGCAAACGCGTTTGGGGGTAACATGTTTAACCGCTTGAAGCTCCCTTGCCTTGTTCCCTCCCGTTCCCAGCTTTGCAGGAGCCAGTCCTGCGCGAGGCTGGCGTGCCGATCCCGGAAGGCTTCGCCGGAGAGAAGAAGTCCTTCACATGGCAGGGGGTGGGAGTCTTGTGGTTCATGAACCAGTTCTATGTGAGCACCGTTTGCAATGATGTGATTGGCAAAAACAAAAAGGGCGGTGGCACAATTTCAATCGGGTGCCGGGGCGGCTGGGGCCCTGCTTGGGCTTTGGCTAAAGAGGCCGCTGGATTACCGAATTGATTCAACAAGGTTTTGCCGACAAGCGCTATGCAATTCAGCGCGGGCGATCAAGATTCGAAATTCACCATCATGTGTACGTAGCTGGAGCACATTTCATGGGTTCGGGGTAGAACGCTTGGGTGTGCCAGGGGCCGGCAACCTTGCAAAAATAATATGTTGATGTTTGCATGTTCCACTAAATAATGGAAGCTTATAAGTTTGTGTGATGCCGCTTTGGGGATGCAAGGAATTGCCGGAGGGCTGCCTTAGCTGTCGCCCGTTCTGAATAGCTTGCAGCGCAATCACGATCGAATGAAGGAAACAGTTCAGCATGCTGCTTTGAATATTCTTTGCACCCATGACGTCCGCATGTTGCAAATTGCTAAATTGCTGAGACATGATGGACAATTGCAGTTGACACAGATCTTTACCCGAAAGCATCTTTGGGCTGATAGCCGCGGTCAATCTGACCAGGTTTCCTCTTCCCCTGCATTCACTCGTGAGGGACACCGCCATGACATCGCTTGCCCTTTCCAGAAGTGCTGTTGCATTGCTCTTATACATAGGGGCTCCCGCGCTGCTGAGTCTTGAATACAATCTTGGTTTGACTCACGAAGAGGAACTCGCCAAGTGAGATTGATGGTATCTCCCAAACCCGTGCAGCCAAGGATACATTTTGCAGACTACATCGATCAGCAGAATGGCAGAGGTGGGTCGCAGTGGCTTCGTGCTTCTTGGCATAAAACAAGGGGGGTGAAAAGAGTCCCAATTGCACGTGCGACAAGCTTAACCCCAATGCAGGAGTGGCACATTCGCCTTTGGCGGGCATCCCTGGGGCATTTTTAGGAAACAGCGAGAACCTTCCCATTTCATTCAAGGTTCCACTATAAAACAATAGGAAATTTGCGGCAACCATCCATGATCCAACCGCAGCAGCATCCACCAGGTCGTAGATCATAGCTGCGTGAGGCACACGGCCTTCGAAGAACACTCAAGTGTTCTGGATGTTCTGGAGGCGCCCCTGGATCATATCCCCCGCTGCCAAGTGCGGGTACCCCCGAAGAGGGGTCGTCACCATCATGCGGTGTTGCCCCACTCGGCTCAGAACCGCCTTGTCCTTCTCGTGTAGTCGCCCGAAGGCTCAACGACACAAGTGGCCGTGCGAAGTCCCTTGAATCGAAGCTTAAGGGAACCTTGGGCTAGCCCCATTTATAATCCTTTACGGCAACTGACTTAGAGCTGGCTGATTGCACCCCTCTCGAAAGACTCTGATTAATTTTAAAACCCTGATTCGTACCGTTCCCAAATTGGGGATCATTAGTGGAGACATGAATAACCAATTAAACATCTGGGGGGCTTACGCACTTAGATTCCAGT